GCGGGCGGGGGAGCCGCGGGGTGGGCGGGGGGAGCTGTGGGGCGCTTAGCTGAGTTTCAGGCACACGCCCTCACCTCTCGAAGCCGCCTTTGTGAAAGTGGGGATAACGCCTGCGCGGCTCCTCACGGGGCTGCTGTGAGGATCCAGTGAAAAGTATGAAAGACGAAGTGCTTCGTCATAGGGCGATGACTCTGTATTACGGGATAGATACCCATCTAGATGGACTGGTACCCACGTGTGAAAACCAAGATCGAGCTGCAAGCAGAATCTTGCCATCCGCCACTGGCTTCCAGTATAAAAATGTTGCTCGGTGGCCTTAGCTCAATGTTTAAACGCTAAAGTCCACTTTCAAGTGTAGAGAAAATTAACTTTGCCTTAGGGAATAGCCTAAAAGCAGGCAGACTCCGGGAGAATGATAAAGAAAATAAAGACACACACACGTGCACAGGTCAGGTGTAAATTTGCCTCAAGCGGGGCCTGGTTCACACGCAGTTCCCAGCAGTGCCTCCAGGGGGAGCCCAGAGCAACCAGAAGCGGCTGCAGCATCATATCTTCCTAAAGGAGTTCATTGGGCAGGGGGAGCAGAGGGGCAGGTGGAGGACAGGAGACAGCTGCCGTGGGCTTTTAGGGCGAGGGGGTGTGCACGCAGAACTCCAGTCTTAGGAAGGAGGAAAAAGTGTAGCTTTACTCCCAGCCACGCCCTGTTGGAACAGGGTGTCTGCAGGTGCTTGCCAGCATGCGTCAGGGCTGGTGTGCCTTGGGTGCTTTATTTATGAGCCCCGAGGCAGGCTCCGTCGTCCCCAATGAGGGCGGCGACTGGACTCAGGTCACATGCCTTATTTAAGGTCTAGTTAGCAGTTGAAAGCTCTGTCGTGAAGTCAGGCCTTGGGGTTATTTAGCTCGTTATTTTAATGAAGCATAAATATGTGTGTACTATTGATAGAATAAAATTTAGTTTTTTTAAAAATTGTTTCATCATCAGTTCGACCTGATTATATTCCTTTATATGCGTGTTTTATAACACAGACTATGTCGGCGACAATGTATGAGATTCACATACAATATACGGACACTGGGGGCGCTTCTGTAACTGATGAGAAGTTTGAAAATACGTAAAGGAGACGCACGGGCAGCGTTACGGCGCCGTATCACGGGGGCCCAGACGAGCGGCGGAGGGCCTGGAGCGGGGTACCCACAGCACGGTGGGAGGGAGCCGGGGAAGCCCCTGGGGTTGAAGCAGAGGGTTCATCTGAGGACTGGGAGGGACTCGAGGGAGAGTTCATTCAGTCACGGGACTGGGGAGGGGAGAGCAGACCGGGGTCCCAAGGTCTAAATTGAAAAGGTCTTTGTATTTGGACTTGGGAGGGTTAAGAAAGAGGGGGGACCTTAGATAAGTCCCAGGTGGCCGGGTGCATGGATGTGTCGTCCACTGAGAGGGTAAAGGAGAGGGGCGGGTGGGCGGGCAGGGTCAGCAGAGGCAGGAGTTGGGGCCAGCTATGCTCCAGGGGCCTGCAGCTGTTAGATGAGCTCTCAAGCAAAATGGACATAAAGGTCCAGAGCGAGAAGCAGTAGTTCGGGCTGGCCACGTCGAGTCTGGCGTGGAAATTATAACTGGAGTTGCTCATGGAGAATGTACGTTAAGAGAAGAGGACCGATAACGGAATCGTGTGAAGACGAGAGACCGAGCGGCAGAGAAGTCGGCGAAGCTAACTACTGGACAACGTAGGAGGAAGCGGAATCAGGAAAGACAGGTCGCCAGGGGCAGGATGTGTGTGACAAAGGCGTCTGCAGACAGGAAAGTTAAAAGCTGTTATTTTTGTTGACCAGAAGCTGATTGAATCAAAGCAACACGTCAGCTCAGGGCAAAGCCACGCACATTTCTCAGGGTGGCACAGTCGCTTTGGCAGTGGCAGACATCTGCCGGCGATTTGTCTGACCCAGGAAGGCGGGGTCCACCACTGCGTTTGAAACCGACAGCACCCCGCGCACACACGTATCAATCCTTCCCAAAGGTTATTCGTCAGCACCGCAACATGCCAAGCCTTGCACTCTGTCCTTGCACACCAAAGCGACTGAGATCACACGCAGTAACATGGTGTAGGACTGTGCACGCCTGTACCAATGTCAGTCCCCTGGTTCCGCAGCCTTACCATAGTTACATAAGAAGTAAGCACTGGGGGACACTGGGTGGAGGGTACATGTGGGTCACGTTTCTGTACTATTTTTGCAGCTTCTCATGAATCTATAATTATTTCAAAATAAAAGTTATTAAAAGTGGAATGAGAAACAGCCCCTGAGTTGAAAGCTGTCATCCGGTCGTGCAGGGAGAATCCAGGGTAAAAAGGGTGATGGCGAGCGCCACAAACTGGGCGGGCTGGGCGGTCAGGGGTATCTGGTCTCCCGGGAAGACTTCATAACAGGAGTGGGGGGCGGAGGGGGGGTTGGGTGGACGGACCTTTCTGAGCAAGTGGTCTTATTCTGGGGGCTCAGAATATGGGAGCAATGCTTTTTTTTTTTTTTTAACCCCAGAACTGTCATAGGTTCTCCCTTCACGCTTGCAGGAACTCGTGACCTAAATGTCCTTGTTTTAGGGAAGGTCAGGGGCCCGGCGGTGGACTCGGGAACCCCGGGGTCAAAGGGCAGGCTCTCCTGGCCCACAAAGCACGCCAGACTCGCTCAGGTGTGCACTTGTGCGTCTGCTCAGTGTCCCCCTGCTCGTCACCCCCGTTTCCTCTCGTGGGTACAGTTCAGGGCCCGGGCGAGGCAGAGCCCTGACTGAGAAGACGCGCCGTGAGACCCAGGACTTGGGGAGAGGACCCCGTCAGCACGACTGTCATTCCCCGTGAAGCATCTACTGGGGCCCCGGTGTGCGGCCGCGTTTATGAAATACTCGAGAACACAGACCCGGACCCTGGACCAGGACTCCCAGAACCTTTGGGTTGCGCGGGAGGAGGGGGCTCAGGAGGCTGGCGG